ATCCTCAGTCGTTTTCCTTCATCTAGAATGTCGTATCAGCCCCCGGTTTTAACATAAAGAGGCTATGCATTACTTGAAATTTGGAAATAATTGTGTTAAGTTTTAGATGTTTTAATTTTTTTTTCAATGAATTTTAACTTTTGCTTTATTGCCTCTGACTAGTTACTAGTAACACATTTTTATTTTCTAGCTTAACAGGTCTGTGCTTTTGTCGGGTTGGCAGCCGCCCTCAGTAGTTGGGCCCCTTGTCGGCGCGCGGCCGCGGCCGGCCCTATGCGCCCTGCGTGCGCCCGCCCCGCGCCTGCTGTTTAGATTATTCCGGGCTTTAAGTGCGCCGCGCTCGCGCTGTAATCTGTTTACGAGTGTGTTTTCGCGCCGAGACAACGGCCTAAGCAGCGACCGCTCACCACATGAAAGGCATCTTTGTGATGGTCATGTCCGCCCAACCCGCCGCGCCCCGCTCCGCCCTTCCTCGCCCCACCCGGCCTCGTCGCGCCCAACCCTACCCCTACCAACAGCATCCCCCGCCACACGCGGGAGAGCGCCAGCAGGCTGCCTGTAGTATAACTTTGTACCAAAGAAAATCAACTGGGTGACAGTGCACAGCACACCCACGAAAAAAGTTCATTTGATTAAGGGCAATTTGTCCAAACACATTGTTCAATTTCCTGTACACTAAAAACTTTGTTTTGAGTCTTTTGAGTTGAAGATTTTCTCTTGCGAGTATTTTTCTTCTGCATAGGACTGGGTGCTCAAAGGTATAAATAATAGAAGAGACACTGAAAAATCTGTGAAAAAAATGTGCACAAACGTACTCAACGTTTAATTCATGGAGTAGGGATGTGGGACCCCCAGCAGCAAGCACCCCTTTTGCAAGTCAAGTGCCCAGACCAAACGCGGGGCCCGATTCCCACTCATCTAATTTGGAAGCTAATGAATTTTGAGCGGGGGAGGAGAGGATGTTTTCGTCACTTATTACGTCACTCTCTGGCCTCCGGGGCCGTCCTCCCCTCCCGCCCCGCAGAGGACGGCGCGGCGCGGGCTATCCGGTTACACGATATTGTCCAATGCGAAGGAAGAAAGGCTTTGTTAGCGCAACTTATTGAAAGGACGAAAGAATGTCGGGCTCATCATCATCAGCGCATCATTGTCATCATCGTCATCATCATCACCATCGTGATCGTCATGGTGTCCTTGTCCAGGTCGCGTAGAGGTCCTGCGTACACCAGTCCTGAGCCAGGCTGCCGGGCTGGGCCGGGGCGAAAGAACACCCTGAAATTTTGACGTGTTACTCGCGGTGTGGTCCTAATCCTTTGGGCCCCGGCGATGCCCAGGCTGCTGAGTGGCAGGCACCCCGGGATGATTAAGACGGCAGGAGCCGGAAATGAGGTGTAATGCAGCTCGGAGTAAATCCCGGCTCAATAAAGGCAAAATCCATACCATTTGCTATATTGGACCATCTTTGTTGAAGTTAGAATTTCAGTGCCTCCGCTACACAGTAACACAATATACATCGGAAAATATTATATTTTGAATCCAAACATATTATTGTCGTGGTTTGGAAGAGGGTATTGTTATTTCTACAACAGCGGCACATCGCGTAGGGACCTGACCACTGTGGACGACCCGACCACCCTGCCGACACGGACCGAGCTATTTGTTCAGGCTCCGTCCAGCAGGCACAGAGCGAGAGAGAGAGAGAGAGAGAGAGAGAGAGAGAGAGAGAGAGAGAGAGAGAGAGAGAG